CTTGACAAAATGGAAACTTGATAGGCTAGAGGTGGGGGGACGCAGGGGAGAAAAAGGGGATAGATACAAAGGAGGACCACTTTAAATCAACCCCTGAATACTTTAAAAAATCTCTGATAGCTGCCAGGGTCCTTCCTCGACAAAACACATGGCCACCACCATTACTGCTACAATGGGAAAGTGCTCTTCATCTCCTCTTCACCTTTAAATTCTGCACAGTCCCAATGCTGCATGGATTTTATCTCATGCTGCTTCCCATGTAGCTTGTTGCTACTGCATTGGCATCATGGTTCACGCCTGCTGATGCTACGTTGCTCATCACTACAGTGACTTTTGTGTCTGGTGTAGACACGCCCACGTTCTACAAGGTGTCATCAAAGAAGTATAACGGTCCACTTGCCCAGTCAAGTTATGATAGACAGTTCTGAAAAATTAAATTCTGGGGGCAGGGCCTGCCTTTTATTCTATGTTTGCACAATACGACGTTGTTCGCTGTATATGACTTCTACGTTCTTCTGTAAAGCAAATGATATTGAAGGCCTCTAGCTATCTTACACAGTTTGTGCAGCATCAGCTCAAGTTTCCCCTGGACTTCCTGCCAGTGTCTCTTGTACTTGACCTGTGGGGACAAAAGGCAGTTCAGGCTCCATATCTATTGTGTTTGGACCTTCTGTGCTGTGACTGCCAAAGGGTATCTGGTGTGTTTAGATTTGTTAGTTTTGGGGAACTGGATGTTTGTCCACTGGCAAATTGACCAAAGTCCCTGGCAGATGTTATTTCTACCGAGCAACAGTTTTTAGCACTCGATGGAAACTCGCACCATAATTTATTGTGCAAGTAACCATTTAATTGCACAATAGGTGTAACGTGTCAGGGGCTTTGTGAAACACATTTGTTTATCCTGAACCATCAAAAAAACAGCTTTTGATAACAGATTTTGTCAGGATGGGTTCAGTCAAAACAATATCCATGTGAATAGACTACAGCTAACACCTATATTTATTGTTTTATTCAGCTAGAATATGCTGTGTTGAGACGCATCTCAGAACTGAGAAGAATCTACAGTTTTTACAGCAGTTTAGGCTGTGATCAGTCACTTGACAACACCTTCCTGATGACTAAGCTCCAGTTCTGGAGACTTCTAAAGGACTGTCAGTTTCATCATTGCAATATAACCCTTGCTGATATGGATAGGATACTGAAAGGTTTGTATTCCTATTTATTGTTGATTAATCAAAGCTTCTAATCCTTTGACTAGAGGACAGGGAGTCTGATAGGTGAATTCTACACAGCTCTCAGATTGGCTTGTTCAGGGGCACTTTGCTTACTTACGTCAGTTTCCCCAGTAGGCATGATAAGATTTCCTTAAGTGCTTTGATATTTTCAGGTGAAAATAAACCCAAAATAACATGTATACATGCGTGCGTACTCTCTCTCTCTCTCTCTCTTATTAAAGCAGTATCAGCTTCTGTGTCAGGGAAAGAGCTCTAAGAACTGCTCCTGGAAAGACAGGAAAAAGCAGGCAGGTCCAGCCGCAGGATCAGACCTTGCTGAAGGCTAGAAGAGCATTAATAAGTTTTTTCCTTTCTAATGATCCTGGTGATTCCCTGTTGGCTGGCTTATTTGGCAGTAATGCCACTTCTGCTGTATTTCTTCTCAGGATGCTGTATCAATATGGCAGATCATAGGATGCTGGGAGAGGGCCATAGGGTTATATGATGTAATTTTAGCATTTGTAGATCAAAGTGATTCAGTTAGTGATGACAGTAAGGATTCTTGCCTTCATTTTTTCCCTTCTGTTTCAGGAGATAATGTACCACCTGAGGAGTTGCATTCTCCATATGAGACATTGCTGCTGAGAACATTTTTGTCTTACCTTATTCATCTAGCATTTCATATCTATCACAAAGAGCATGAGTAAGTTGCTTTTTTTTATATTGTTTGAGTTTCAGTAGTCAGCTATTATGTAATTACTAGAGGGTAGCCTTTCTCAGGATCAGCATGATCACTGATTTTACTTCTTTGACCCCTCTTCTTTTTCTGACTCCTCTTCCTTTTCTGTCCTTTCACTTTCTTCTTTTTCTTTCTCTTTTTTATGGTTATGTCCTATTCACAGTCTCCTGCTGAGTAGATTGATTCTGAATTTTGCAGGAAATAATCCCCTTCTGATTTCTACTAGTATTGACTTGTTTACAGAGTGTCCTTGGCAAGCATGTTTGTTTCAAATTAATATTGACCGGTGGTGTTTGGGCTTGCAATACAGAGTTCTACAAATACTCTAAAGTTTCTTACTCTCAAGGCTTGTGGAGTGCAGATTTTGGTAAAGCAATAGTAGGATAAAGCCTAAACAACAGCATCAGTATGGGGGGTGCTTTTGGCTAATTGGTAATGCTTTTTAATGCGTAATTGTATAAAAACTTACATTTATTTCCTTATACAAAATATGTTCAGGGGAAAGGAGATCTGTGAAAATTTGTATTTTAATAGCTTTTAGAAGTTCTGTATGCCTGTAGACCAGTAAAGAAAAGCAAGCAGTAATGAACAATGTATCACTTTTAACAGTACAATTAAATCTGGCAGTTCAAGCAGTAATGAGTGTGGATTCCAATAAAGTGTTAAGGATGTGCTCAGAATTAGAAATTCTGATTGTAAAGCCTTTACCCTTTGTATACTATTTATCCCTGTAACTTCAATCTACAGGGTTTATCACATTAAACCTTTCAATGTGTATCAGTACCACCAAAAAAACCAGTGACCCCAATGAAGAAAAATCTGAAGTTCCTAGCTTGTTGATGTTTTCGCAAAGGGAGTGGAGGGAGTTCAGTCTGGGGTTTTTTTTAGCCCCTCCTGGAGGGTGGGGATGGGTGTATTGGGGATCCCTTCCAAGGTGGGAGGGCTCCAATTCATGCACCCCATCTATCAGCACTGACCGGAGAGCCCCAAGAATGAGCTACTTCTGCTGCCTTTCCTCCCTCCCTTTCTGAAAATAATGGGCACTGGCAGAGAGGCCTGGCCATTGCTATATGAACCTGGCTGCAGGCTCCCAGCCCTCAGCTAGGTTCCCCTCCCTCCTGGAACCAACACTGAACTTCTGTTTGGTCTGGGGTAACGTTATAACTCAGAACGCTTTGCAAAAATTCTTTTGAGTTACAGCTGGGAGCTGCACTTATTTTGCATTGCTATATTTTACATACAATTTAAGTTTCCTTAAAACCTTAGGCGACATTATCTAGAGCCACTTTCAAACCTGCACTCTAGTCCAAACCCTCTGACCATCCCCTTAGCTCACTCCTCAGAAGTTTTTTTGGAGAATCAGAACTGACACTGAACTTCCCTGTAGCACTACTCTTCCCCTCACCGTGTGTTCATTCAAGTGCTGCAGAGCCTAGTATAAGAAGTCTATTGGTATGTGACTTCTGGCCCGTCTGTACCCTACTTCTTGTCTTGACTGCCTATGATCAGAGCTTAGCACAGGAGAGACTAGTAATAGGCAGACTGAATCCTAGCATGGCATCTGCTGTGTTTGCTGTTCAGTTGTGCTAGTATAGGTAATATAGACAGAAATGGGTGGCTCATGTAGTTCAGGCTAGTTAAGAGTAATCCTCAGGGTTGACCTTAAAAAATAGCATAGACATTTCCTTGGACACCTAGGTATTTTTTGAAAATCCCACCCAGTACCTGTATAATACATATAAAAGATAACTAATACTTTGTTCTTGAGATTAATAAACATAGTTTGTCCTCTCAGAGCTACACAGTGGGATAGCATAACATAACTTTTACTGGATAAACATCCTATCAGGCAATTTTTGCTAGTACTTTTTTGTAGAGATTGACAGTGTAATATAATACTTCGTTTTAATTTTAGCGATAAAGGACCATATCTGTTCAAGTGTTTCTCAAAGATGATGTCCAAGAACATTATTCCACATGCCTGTCATGTACAAGGTAAGTACCACTTTTCTTTGTTATATAGAATTCATTACCATTAGTGTAGTAACTACATAAAAACTACATTTTAACTTCGGCAAGCAAGGTTCTTAGAGCAGATGTTGGTTTAATAAAAGATATCACATCTACTTTAAGAACCTTGTCTGCCTATGTCCTTATACCAGGGGTGGGCAAAATGTGGCCCATGGGCCCACCAGGCCATTCTATCTGGCTCGCGGGGCCCCTAAAAAAATTTAGAAAATTAATATTTAACTGCCCCTGGCTGCCTGTCATGTGGCCCTCAATGGCTTGCCAAAACTCAGTAAGCAGCCCTCTGGCTGAAATAATTCCCCTCCCCTGCCTTAGACCAACACAGCTACAACCAAACCTACCAACATTTTAACTTCTGTCATCTTCCATTTCCCTTCTACAGGCATTTTATTTCACAAACAGCAACACACTGCCTCTGCCATAAATTACATTGATAAATGCTGGGAGATATACGGAGCCTTTTGCAGACCAAGCATTAGACCTCCTCATGAACCCACAATGAAGATGAGACACTTCCTCTGGATGTTGAAAGTAAACACATTTTACATGCTTTAATTTGTGTTTTTAAGTGTTCACTTATTTATCCTGCTTGCAATAGCTGTTTTAAATGGTTTCTCCTAAGGGCTTGATCCTGCAGATACTTTAGTGAATGAATTTACTTGTGGTCCTAAGATGTCCCATTGATTTCAAAGGGATGACTTCTTTTGAGTAAGTTTCTTACATACTTAACTTTTTGCAGGATCAAACTCCAAAATCCCTGTTTCTGTTTCTGGATACTTTAGGTTAATTTCAAGTATATTTTAAAATTTAATATAATGATTTTTACTAGCAATTTTTGTTTGGCTGTTAAATTATTTCGACATTTTAATCCTTGTGTTTAAACTGTAACATTTGTTGTGGTCAAGATTCATAAATCCAGAATTTAAAAAATATTTTATTGAACGTTATTTTTATAAAGTGTTTGAATGTTAAGTTTGATTAAACCGCTCTGGAATTTACGGCTGTAACAGGGAGCCAGCAGATTCTTGTTACTTTAAGAGAAAACCACAGCAGGGTAAGCTGGCTAACTGCTAAGGAAAAGGCAGACTTGTAACCGGCTGCCAGCAATAAGGAGAAGGGGGAAGACATCTAGGCTGCTTAGTAGCCAGAGCTGCAAACGACAGTTAAGCAGCAGCAAAGCAAAGGAGTTGATTCATTAGGCCCAGAATGTAAACCCCTGTGTGGCTGCAGAGTCACCTGACCAAAAAGGGGCAGGGCTTGAGGAATATAAGCCCACAGCCTGAGCCAGGGCAGCAGTTGGATGCTGTAGGAGAAAGAGCTCCCAAGTAGGAATGCTACAGGGGAGTGCCCGTCTGATGCCACCGCTGCTCTTGAGAACTGCTAGAAAGGCACTGATACTTTAAAGGGGAATATGACCCTGTGTAAAAGAGAGGTTTGGTTTGGTTAAAAGCGAGCTGAGATTTATGTTCAGGCCCAGTATGTGTAGGGGGGAGTTTGTGTTATACCTGGAGGGCTTAATCTTTTGGTATAATTTAAGCCAGCAGTTTGGGTTGGAACTGTCAGGGGTGGAGGAGATCCCAGCAGTGGCTGAGTCTTGTGGCAGCTTTTAGCTCTGCCAGGCTGGTGGTGGCTGAAAGGACCAAAACCTGAGGGAGAGAGACAGAATCAGCCTGAGGCCAAGAAGGTTAAGGCCACAGCCCAAAGGGGGGCACAGGCTGGGGCCAGGGGCTCACAGTCCAAAAAGGGGAAGAGACAAGAGCCTGAGAGGGTGAGACAGGAGGCTGGAGCCTAGAAGCCAGGTCCAGCATGGTGGGCCTGGGCTAAAGGGTACAGCTAAGAAAAAGGGCGATGGCCAGAAAAGCTGAGGCCCTAGCAAGGGTGTAGAGGCCTAAGGAGGCCTGATATGGGACTTGGGCGAAGTGCCTGTTGAAATGATTAATGGGTTACACTTGTGAGGCCTGGGCATAGCTGTAGGGGAGGTCAGAGGGCACAAATAGCCTTAAGGTAACAGGTGCTCTAGGGCATGAATGAGCCAGGAGGGCTCACTTAACATTCAAGGTACAGGATTTGGGACCCAGATCTGAGAGAGAGCAGCTGGGCAAGAGATGTACAGGGGCTCTATCTTGGGTCTGGGGACAGCCTCCCTTATTACCAATTACATCAAGGCATGGCAGGCAGGGAAAAAGGGGTGAGTACCCAGGGAGCCAGAGCACAGCAGGAACTGCATGGCCACTAGGGGTCATCATGGCCCCCCCTGGGACTCAGTCCTTGTTACAGGGGCTTATTGAAAGCACATTGAATTCCTTTAGAAGGAGCTCCTTTTATATCAAGAGTTCTTGGATCAGCTTCTGTTGATTTTTTAAAATCATAGCCAGCTTACCTCTCGAGACACGCGCTGCTTGCTGGTAGGTTTCCTCTGCTTTCCTGTGGGAAATGCATTCAAATAAACCCCACTTTGTTGGCTTAGTACAGGGATGTCAAGCATATGGCCCTTGGGCTGGATCCAGCCCATGGAGCCTCACAATCTGGCCCCTGGTGCTTCCCCTGAGTCTGATTAGATCCAACCAAGGCATGTTGCATACCTGTGGTGCAGTGCTGGTCCACAGGTTGGGTCTAGCCCACAGACCTTGTCCCCTTGTAAGTTATTGGTTGATGGGGAACATAGCTAATCCATAAATATTCCTAACATCTCTGTTTCTCATACTATGCGAGTATAAGTGTAGCCCTGAAGTCGATGGCGAAATTCCCAGTGAGGAATTGGGGACCAATTCACCTTGTATATATTATGGATTACCTTGTGAGGGGCCAAGTTTTCCTTCCCCTGAAATCTACTGAAATTTTGACACTGATTTCAAAAGGAAGCCAGAACAGGCCTGTGTTATAAATATCTTGGGTCCTAATAATATGTTTTATGTACAGGATTTAAATATTCTAAGCAAACAATTAACTTCTCCAAAAGTTGTGGAAATACTGGCAAAAGAAAATCCTTTTGTACGTGACAAAGATGACACCAACTTGGAGCATGAGGTATGAAAGGAAAGAAATATTCATTAATTCTTATTTCAGCTGATGAAAAGGCAATTGCTACAGAAACCTTTAGTGTTATTTTTAGAAGCTGCCAGCAAACAGTAGATCTTTGTTTTTTCTTCATCATATAGTTCTTTGAGCTTATATACTTCTTATTGTTCCATGGTGTGCTTATTATTGTCGCCTTCTGACTTCCAGGGTCCATTCTCTAAATCCTAGGATTGTTCAGCAAGTATTGAGAATATTCTTTTAAAGTACAACATACAGTGATATTCACCCAGGACAGTGGAAGACCCTTTGCAACCATTAATTTCTAAGGGGGGAACTGCAAAGTAGGGAGGAGGTCTCAGCAGTTCAGGACATATTTATTGGAGGCTTTAGGACAGCTGTGGGCCCCCAGATCTGCATGGGTACAGGTCCCAGAATGCATGAAGAGGGGACATGAAATGAAGGAGCCTATTTCCCAGCCCATAGGCTAAAGTACAGAAGGACTTTCTTACATCCTTACAGCCAGCCTCTGATTCCATTCTATCAGTCCCCACAAAAATTTCCCTCAGGCTTTGTCCAGGAGGCTAAATTTTACGCCTAAAAATTAATTTTCACGTAGTAGAAATCTCTTATAAATAATGTAACTGAGCTTGTCTTTTAATATTTGTATTTGATAGCATGGCTGAAACAAGTGCATTTATTATCCAAGTAAAGAGAAGAATCCATTACCTGGCCATTGCTATGATGTAGCAGCATTGTATGCAATGATTCATGGTCAGCCAAAACCTATGCGAGCCAAATGACAATACTAGTTATCTTGCAGCCCGTTAGGGAGAGGGAGATTCTTGAGCTTTGATATCAGGAGTAGTGAAAACTTAGCCAGGCAGATAATGCATTATAGTATTTTCATTTAGTTTATATAATGTGAAATATTGTATAACCTGCTAATCTGAAAACAGGATTTAGTCATTTTGATCAGCTAGACTTTGACCATGTTCAGAGATTAAATATTTTCTTTGTTTGTTTCACTCTAGTTGGTTTTTCTTGAATTCCTTGAAGCTCTCCTGGATTGTGCACTGTTATATGTTACCAGTGATATGATTAAACAGCAAGTAGAACATGTCACTCAGAAAAGAAGCAGTTCTAGGAGTGAGGATTATTCAGGAGTCAAGTATATAGCTCAGCACCCAGAATGCCTCTCGCGTCGGGTAAGGTTGATGCACGATGAAGTAAGCTATGTTATAACTGCTGTTATTACTATACCCACAGATTTCTGTAATTTCTGTAATTGTTCTAGTTCCATAGAAGCAGATTTAGATGTCTACTTTTCATGGTTTCATGGAAAAATGTGCAAGTGTTTGTGTGGGAAGACGACAAGTGGATGGACATTTTTGATGGAGTGGAGGAAGTGATGTGACAACAGATGAGTGCCTTGCTTAGAGTAGTCCTTTGGGTAGATGTGATATCTTTTATTAGACCAACTAAATACTTGGAAAAATTTGTTCTTTGCAAGCTTTCAGGCACAAACACCCTTCTTCAGGGATAGGGAGAGTCTGTTGGTGTTTGTGTGCTCTCTTAGGTAGAATAGAAGCCAATATGCAAAAACAGTCTGTGAAAATGCAAATACATGGCAGTGAGGATCTGAAGGAATGGGAGGCAATAGGTGAGAGACAGGGAGGGGCAGGAGGAATATAGAACTGGTGATAGAATGTAGCTGGTAAAATGCAGACAGGTTACCTGGGGTTATCAGATGGCAGGCAGGTTATAATGTGCTGTAAAGCCAATGTCTATATTTAGTCCATGATTTTTTGTATCCAGTAGATTTATGAAGTGAAGTTTGTAGGTTCATCTACAAAAGGTGTTTTGTAAATTCCTTTTGAGGATTAGAACTGAGAGATTGGAGAGACAGTGGTTATCTTGTGAGAAGTGTGCACCTACAGGTAACTGGGTGTTTTTGTCTTTGATAGATTTTTGGTGTGCATTAATTCTGGTACAGTTATTGTTTGGTTTCTACATATTTTCCATCAGGGCATTTAGTGCACTGGATGAGATTGTATTATATTTCTGGAGGTGCCGGTGTAGGGTCCAGGAATGGTGATGGTTCTGTGGTGGGGTGCAGTTATTGTAGGAGTGGTAGAAATGTGTTGGGCAGGTTTTACATTTCTTGTTCTGGCATGGTCTGGATCCATCTGGTGTGCTTTGGGTCATAGGAAGTTTGCTTCTGGTGATGAGGTTGATGAGATTGGGTGCTTGTTTAAAGGCTAGAATGGATGGTTCTGTTAAGATCTCTTTGAGAACTGAGGCGCCTTCTAGTATGGGTTGCAGTTGTTTGAGGATTTTCCATATAGGTTCCCAGGAAGAATGGTATGTCGCCAATGAAATGTAATTTGTGGGGATTTTCTTTTTGTACTGCAGCAGTTCTTCACATGGTATCTTGGTGGCCTTTTCAAAAGTATGATCTCTCTCTGGAGGAGTGTGCTTGTTGGATGAAAGCCCTTTTGAGATTTGTGAGGTTTGTGAGTGGGTATTCTCAGTGCAGATTCAGTGGTATCGGAAGGCTTGGCTATATATTACAGCTTTTGTGGTGTGTTTAGGGCAGGAGTGGGCAAAATATGGCCCGTGGGCTGGATCTTGCCCACTAGGCCATTCTATCTGGCCCGTGGGGCCCCTAAAGAATTTAGAAAGTTAATATCTATCTGTCCTTGGTTCCTGTCAAAAATGACAGGAGCCTGGGGCAGTAGGACCTAGGCGAAGCCCCGGCAGGCTCCTGCAACAGCAGGGCCTGCCCAGCCCTGCCCCCCCCCAGCCAGAAGCCCCAGCAGGGGCTTCTGGCCTGGGACCGTGTGGCTCCTCTGGTATGGGAACCTCAGGTAAGAAGGGCAAGGGGGTGGGAAGGGCAAGGGACGAGCTGGTGCTGAGCACAGAGAAAAGCGGCCCCTTCACTGCCCGGTGGCTGGTGCTCCCTGCTGCAGCTGCTCGCAGCCTGTGCAGGGCTGTCCTGAGCAGTGTTTGCTGCTGCTGTCCACCTGGAGCTCATGCCGCAGTAGGCTGCAGTGAGTCTGCCACCACTGCCCCTGTGCTGCCCAGCGTGGGAGCTCCAGGTGGGCAGCAGCAGCAAACACTGCCTGGTGTGGCAAGGGCGGGGGGGCTACAGCTGCTCCTGCTGCAGTGCAGCCCTGATGGGCAAGCCCAGAGCCAGTGTGGGGCCCAGGCTGGCAGCGCGGGCAGGTTACAAGCTGGTGCTGAGCACGGGGAAAAGCAGCCCCACCCCATGGTTGGCACCCCACACTGCAGCCGCTCGCAGCCCGCCTGGGGCTGCCTGTGCCTGCTCAGGACAGCCCTGCGCAGGCTGCAGCAGGGAGCGCCGGCCACATTGTGCAGGAGGGGCTGCGTTTCCCTGCACTCAGCTCCAGGTGCGGGGCTACCCATGCGGCCCTCGACAGCTTGCCAAAGCTGGGTAAGCAGCCCTCTGCCCAAAATAATTTCCCGCCCCTGGTTTAGGGTGATTGCTGGTTCTGTGTAGCTATGTCTATTGGGCCATGGGTTTCTTGTATGTGCTGGCTTGTATTTTGCCATTCTGGATATTGTTCATAGTGTCTAAAAAGGAAATGTTGCTGGAGTATTCAAGAGACAGTCTGATGGAGGGGTGATGGTTATTGAATTTGTGATGGAAATCAATCAGAGACTTCAGGTGTTTGGTCTAAATGATGACGATGTCATCTAGATATCTTTAGGTATGGCATGGGTTTGATGGTGCAGTTCTTGAGGAATTTTTCCAGGTGGGCCATTAAAAGGTTGGCTTACTGGAGGAGCATTTTGGTGCCCACAGCTGTGCCCATGGCCTGGAGGAATTGTTGGTTATTGAAAGTGAAGTTGTTGTATGTGAGTATGAAGTATGTAAGTTCAGTAATATCTTTTAGGTCTGTATTCTTTGAGGTGTAATCTTGTGCTTGTAGATGTGCAAGGCAGGCTTGGAAGTCATCCTGGTGTGGGATTTCGGTATATAAGCTGGTAACATTCATGGTGGCTAGGAGGGTATTGCTGGGAAAGTGATCTATGTTTTTTAAGTTTTTGTAGAAAGTCTGTTGTGTCTTGGATAAAACTCACTCTTTGGGTGATGAGGTTTTAGGATGGATTTGATGAAAGCTGATATTTCCTCAGTTAGGGTTCCATGGTAGGATATTATAGGTCTGCCTGGGTTTTCTTGTTTATGGGTTTTAGGGAGTGTGTAAAAAGTCCCAGAGTTAGTTAGTGGCGGGGGATCCCAGTTCTGTAGTTTTTCTTGTAGTTCAGATGGACACGATGGTGGTTTTGAGTTTAAGGTGAAAAGGGGAGTTGGCTCTTCCCCCATTTTTCATAGTAGGTGGTATCAGAGTTGTCTCTTGGCTGCTTTTATAGTTTCATAGTTAAGGATAACTATAGCTCCTCCCATAGGCAACTGGTAAGGGGTGCGTGGAGGTGCACATGCCCCCTGATGGCTGACACCAACGCTGTTGGCAGGGCTGGTGCCCC